ACAGCAAAGGAAAAAATCAGCAAAACTAAAAGACAACCAACAGAATGGGAGAAGATATTTGCAAATGACATATCAGATAAACGGTTAGTATCCAAAAATCTATAAAGAATTTATCAAACTCAACACCCAAAAAACAAATAATCCAGTGAAGAAATGGGCAAAAGACATGAATAGACACTTCTCCAAGGAAGACATCCAGATGGTTACCAGCATATGAAAAGATGCTCGACATCACTCATCATAAAGGAAATACAAATCAAAACCACAATGAGATACCACCTCACACCTGTCAGAATGGCTAACATTAACAACTCAGGCAACACCAGATGTTGGCGAGGATGCAGAGAAAGAGGATCTCTTTTGCATTGTTGGTGGGAATGCAAGCTGGTGCAGCCACTCTGGAAAACAGTATGGAGGTTCCTCAAAAAACTAAAAATAGAACTACACTAGACCCAGAAATTTCACTACTAGGCATTTATCCACGGGATACAGGTGTGCTCTTTTGAAGGTACACATGCACCCCCATGTTTATGTTTATAGCAGCACTATCAACAATAGCCAAAGTATGGAAAGAGCCCAAATGTCCATTGATGGATGAATGGATAAAGAAAATGTGGTGTATATATACAATGGAGTATTTCTCGGCAATCAAAAAGAACGCAATCTTGCCATTTGCAACTAGGTGGATGGAACTAGAGGGTATTATGCTAAGTGAAATTAGTCAGACAAAGACAAATATCATATGACTTCACTGATATGAGGGCTTTAAGACACAGAACAGATGAACACGAGGGAAAGGAAGCAAAAATAATATAAAAACAAGGAGGGGGAACAAAACATAAGAGACTATTAAATATGGACAACAAACAGAGGGTTACTGGAGGGGTTGTGGGAGGGCGGATGGGCTCAGTGGGTAAAGGGCATCAAGGAATCTACTCCTGAAATCATTGTTGCACTACATGCTAACTAACTTGGGTGTAAATTTAAAAAATAAAATTTAAAAAAAGTGCCTTTTTGCTACTTGTTTAAAAATTCTGATCACAATCAGTGGGACAGCCCTTTGAGTATTTTCACAAGATGATCAGTGTGAAAAAGATTACTTGTTGATTCTTAAAACTATTAGTGAGCTCAATTAAAGATTCACATATTTGATTTAATTTGCCTATTATTATTATATGTCCACATATTATATGCCTATTTATCTATAATTATGAGCATTTGAAATAATTGTTGTAAATCACAGCTTCTCTATTGACTTTTAGTTAGGTCTTTTGGCCCATAAAATAGTTTTAAAATTCATTTAGTGAAATGTATGTATCTTCTACCTTCTGAGTTTTTTTTTCTTGCCTTACAAATGATGATTTTCCCACCAGTAGATTTTATATGTAATTTTATATGTAATTTTATATGTAATTATATGTAATTTAGATGTGCATCTAAAATGGAATGGTTACTCTTACACTGGGGGTTTACTTCCTCTTTTGGATTTTTGGTGAGATGTGTGAAATAAGCAAGCATCACACTTCCTTCCACGTAGAAAGCCTTTGTGCCAGCTTTCACTCAACAACCCAGTCTTTTCTGACGACACTTAAATGCAGCTTTGTCAAGTATTAAATGTCCATATATAATGAGACCTAATTCCTGACTCATTCAATTAATACTGAAAGAGCATCTGCTATGGTGCCAGAAATTTTTAAGAGCTTTATATGCTATCCTCTTTTTTTATCCAGGTCTTGGGGAATTTTATTATTTTTCTCTGTTGATTTGTTGACTTACTGGTTCTGTAGATCATGTTTCAGTTACTGCTCAAAACTTAATTCAGTTTTGTGTAACATGGTTGTACTGAAACTGCTCTTTAACCTGGTTTTATTCTGTCTGTCATTGTTTGTATTTCATAATGTCTCATTTTCATGAATCCGTTTCTATATAAGTGCATATACATCCACATACTTTTGTAAAGGGAAGATGAGCAGAAGTTCCTGCTCCTTTGGTAATCACGTCACAATGACACACAGGAGTGCAGTAAAAATAAATGTGAGTACAAAATAATGTACTTGGATAAGTTACATGAAGCTTATTCAGAGTTAGGGGATAGATTGTCAGGGGGTGTTTAGGATTTCATAGGGTCTGGAGAGCACGTTACCTGTTGGACAAGGAACAGAACCATGACTAGTTGTGCTCATCAGACTTGTCAAGAAAGTGACTAAAATTCAAAGCATAAGAACATCAAATACACACCAAAAAAATGCCACATAAGACAAGTGGCAAAGAGGCTTACCTCATCCTCTATTTGGCCATATAAAAACTGATTAATCAAATGAATATGGAATAAACACAGGAAAATCAAGTCTGCTCTCTGCCAATAAAAATGCCCAGATTATGAGACGTGTTGGTTTATTCTCTTGCGATGTTCGATCTGTGATGTTCACGTCATAAAGATGTCGCTACTTTTTTCCTTTAGAGAAATTTATTTTTGCCCTTTAATTATTTTTGCTGGGTGTAAATACGATATAATTAGGATTGGAGGCCACCAACATCATTCTCTCCCTCTCTCTCTGTCTCTGTCTCTCTGTCTGTTCGTTGAACACAATTTTTTAATTTTTCTTTGCATACAGGCCAGAAGACCATTCCAAAATGGAGCCCCAGGATTATTTGTCCTTAGGAAGCAATGAATAGGACTTTCTGGTACTATTTCTACTTTCCTTCTGGGAAAGGTAATATGATGTGTATGCATTCATATCCTAAAAAGTGTGTTGGGGCAGGTGGGGGGGGGGGGTGAAGACATACAAGTAATACATACCAGGAGGATACGGTGCAGTGTGTGTGTGTGTGTGTGTGTGTGTGTGTGTGTGCGTGTGTGTGTGCATGCAGTGAGAGCAGGTCTCAGAGCAGGGGTTTATAGGTGCCTCTATTCCAGGTTCACCCTATAATACACAGGTCAGACTCAATCAACAGATGATACTGACAAGGGATGTTCAGTTGACAGGATGCTATTACAACCAGATTAACAAAGTGCAAGAGGTACATAGTGTGGACCAGGAGCTCCCTCTGTCTTGAATTTTAAGCAGCTGCGAGGCCACATGGATCCACAAAATTCACTGCCAGTACCTGTCATCACTCTCCCTCTTTTCAACTCCCCGCCATTACACTGGCTTCCTTCTGAGCCTTGATTTTCTGGAAAAAAAAAAGTGTTTCCGCAGGGCCTTTTCACTGTCCTTCCTCCTGCCAGGAAGACCTTCTGTCTTGCACTCTCTCTTCCTTGAGGTCTCTGTTCAAATGTCACCTTCTTAGTCAATCTTGACTGAACACCCAACATAACAGCCCATCCACTCTTTCTTTTGACTTGCCTTCATTTTCTTCATAGCCTCAGTCCACATCTCAGGATTATTTAATTTTTATATACGTGTATATCCTATCACCAGCAATGATTAGTAGGTACCTTTGCTTTTCAGCACCGTCTACTTTATGACTTGGAAATGCTGAAAACATGGTTGATGGTCTATATATTCCTCAAATGCATGAGATAAGTTCTTATTAAAACTGCACAATACCCAGCCTTTTGGGGAACATCTGATGTTGGGATGAAAATTCCTAATAAGAGAGGAAATGGGGATCCCCTCCAGAGCACCCATCCATTCACAAAATATTGAAATAACTTTCTTGACTGGAAAATGTAAATTGTAGCATTTCAACAATGTGAGCCATGTCTATTGATGTGAAAATTAGTCATGTTATTTTCCCCTTTATTGGTAGTCACTTCCACCACATGGACCCAGGAAACGATATAGGAATTTCAGAATTTCTTCTTATGGGATTTTCAGAAGAAACAGAACTGCAGCCCCTCGTATTTGAGCTTTTCCTCTCCATGTATCTGATCACTGTGTTTGGGAACCTGCTCATCTTCCTGGCCATTAGCTCTGACTCCCACCTCCACACCCCCATGTACTTATTCCTGGCCAACCTGTCCTTTGTAGACATCTGCTTCACCTCCACCACCATCCTGAAGATGCTCTGGAACATCCAGACCCAGACCAAAGTCATAACCTATGAGGACTGTATCACACAAATGAACTTTTTCATAACCTTTGCAAGGATGGATGACTTTCTCCTGAATGTGATGGCCTACGACAGGTTTGTGGCCATCTGCCACCCGCTAAACTACATGGTCATTATGAACTCCTGGCTCTGTGGACTCCTGGTCCTGGTGTCCTGGATCCTGAGTGCTCTGCATTCCTTGTTAGAAAGCTTAATGGTGTTGCAGCTGTCCTTCTGTACAGTCTGGGAAATCCCCCACTTTTTCTGTGAGCTCAATCTGATGATCCAACTTGTCTGTCCTGACACCTTTCTCAATAACATGGTGGTGTATTTTGGAGCTATTCTGCTGGCTGGTGGTCCCTTTTTTGGGATCCTTTACTCTTACTATAAGATAATTTCCTTCATACGTGGGATTTCATCAGCTCAGGGCAAGTATAAAGCATTTTCCACCTGTGTGTCTCACCTTTCAGTGGTCTCTTTATTTTACTGTACAAGCCTAGGAGTGTACCTCAGCTCTGCTGCTACCCAGAGCTCCCACTCAAGTGCAACAGGCTCAGTGATGTACACGGTGGTCACACCCATGCTGAACCCCTTCATCTATAGCCTGAGGAACAAAGACATTAGTTCCTCTGATGAGATTCTCTGGTATGGCAGCTATAAAAGGGCCAATTGTCTTGTGCTGAAAAGTACCCATGATTGCAGGGTCCAAAGTCTGACCCAAATGTTGAGATTCTTTGATCAGATTGTGGGAGTGGAACATGCCTCTTCTGTTTTTTTTCCTGGAATTTCTATTTTTTTTTAATTTCGATATCTGTGTACAATTTATGTAACTCCCTATGTTAAGCTTTTTGATATCTCTTATATCTAAAAGATTTTCCCTTTGTCATTTTCCTACTCTCCCAATGTGATTCCTCACCTTTGATGTGAAATATTTGGAATTCTCACTCATTTCAAAGGACTACATGGATCTGTTACAAATAATTTCTTCTCAAATCAAGTGTATCATAGTGAGTATTTTTTCTTTGGTTTGACCAAAAAAAAAAAAAAAAAAAAAACCCAGTCATGAGTTATACTACTCCTATGAAAGTCTACTCTTGGCCATGACTCTTATTGATATAAGAGTATAAGAGAGTCATTAGAAATCATTGTAACCTATCTGCTGTGTTGAAAGCAAGCTTGAAAGAAACTTGGAGGGTAAAGAAAGGAAGAGAATGGAGGTTTTCATTAACATGGAATTCAAGGAATGTAGAAATTTAGGCAAAATAAATTATAATAGAACAGGTAGCCATAAGTTAATGATATATGGCTTTTCCTATCTTAATGCCCAGAGGCCTCAAAGACAGAACCATATTTACATTTATGCAAGGAGACATTCTCTGAACCAGGCAATAGGCTGAATATCCCCCAAACTGACCTTATTTTGTTTCTTCTACTTAAGTAGAGTTTCAACACAAAACGCCTTTATCCAAGAAAGCTAAGTGAATGAGTGAGTTGAGAGGCTTAAATTCCTTTTATTAAAAAAATTGGGGCACCTGGGTGGCTCAGTCAGTCAAGTGTCCAACTTCAACTTAGGTAATGATCTTGTAGTATGTGAGCTTGAGCCCTGCGTTGGGCTCTCTGGTGATAGTTCAGAGCCTGGAGCCTGCTTTGGATTCTGTTTCTCCCTCTCTCTATGCCCCTCCCCCACTTGCATATTCTCTCTCTCTCTCTTACTCTCCCAAAAATCATTTAAAACATTTATTGGATAAGTGTCTTTGTTATTTACTATTGCTGCTATATCCAGTTACCACACTAAGGGTTTAAAAGAAAAAAATTTCTACTCTTCCAGGTCTGGAGGTCAATGCCAAAAATGAATCACATTTGGGCTAAAATTAAGATGTCTCTGCAAGAAAGAAGAGAGCTTGAATTCCTGCCCACTTATGTGATTCCAGGTCACCATTTTTTCTCCACAAAAATGCATGTCCTTCCAACCTCTACTGGTTACCTGAATAGAATCTTCAATGGAGAGGATTTTTTTAATAGTCATCCAAAATAAATTTGAATAACAAAATGATCATGAATGTTGCTGAATGGCAAACCATCCTGAAAACAAATGGCTTGGTAGAATATCTTTAGTATCAAGTAGAATTGTATGGTGATGAGTTGTTCTAATCTCTGTTGATGTCCTCAAGGATCTTGAATCAGATTCTGTGTCACCTGGGAAGGCTCTGCTGATCTTGCCAGGGTTTGGGTCTTGGCTAGCTAGCTGTGGCTGATCAGAGTGGCCTTGGCTTGGACAACTGGGCTGTGCTCCACACGTCTTCACTTCTTCTGGCAGCCCATCTGGTTTTATTCTCTTTTCAGAGCAGTATTTCAAGAGAGAGCAGCAGAAATTCACAGGGCCTCTAAGGTCCACTGCCACTTCTATCATATTCTGTTGGCCACAGTAAATAAAAAGTTCTACTCCATCCAGAATCAAAGATGGAAGAATAGTCTCCACCTCCTGATGGAAGGTACTGCGCACATTGCCAAAGATATGACTACAGAGAAAGACCAGGACTTGGGCCATCTCTGCAAACAGTCTACCACTGCTGTTAATTTCAATTCAAAAGGTTTATTTCCAATCCACATTCAGCAGTGGAATGATCTAAGAGAAGACAGTGAGAATGAATTAAGCGTCTAATGACCCTACTTCAGAGGGTCAGGTTGTAAATATTTCCTCCATGCCTCTTGCCTATACATCACCTTTCCTAGTATAAGGAAAGATCAAATAAATAAAAGGTTTACTTTCCAGATGGCTCAGAGATACCAGGGACCTTGTATCTATTTCATTGAGTAATGGAGCTAACAAGTGTTCTATCACTGATACTATCTTCACAGAATCCTTCTGTAGATACTGTTTTCCTATTGATAGACCTCACCATTGAAATACTCATAATAGTTTCCACTCTGGTATCTTTTTTATGGGTATAATTCCGCTAGGATGAGGTGACATTTGAAATGCAATGGAAGACAGAGACATAGGAATGTTTTTCTTCATTTTTCCAGCCTTCTTGAAATTTAATTGACATATAAAATTGCGGAAATTTAAGCATACAACTTGGTGATTTCATGTACATATATGTTGTGAAATGATCACCATAATAGGTCAGTGAACACATCCATCACTTCACATAGTTACCACTTCTTTTTGTTGTAAGAACATTTACTATATACTCTATTAGCAACATTCAAGTATACAACACAATAGAGTTAATCATAATAGCCATGTTGTACATTAAGTCCCCAGAACTTATTCATCTTATAACTGAAGGTTTATAGACTTTCACTAACATCTTCTCATTTCCCCAAACCCAAGCCACTATCAAACATCAACCTACTCTCTGTTTCTATGGTTCAGATTTTTATATTTCACATGTAAGTGAGATCATACAGTATTTGTCTTTCTCTGTCTGACTATGTCACTTAGCATAATGCCCTTGGGGTCCATTCGTGGTTGAGCAAGGAAAAAATGTCTTCATTTATTATTGCTGAACTCCACTGATAGATATGCCATCATTATTAATTCATCTGTTGATGGATGCTGGGCTGTTTCCAAATCGTGGCTATCCTGAATAATGCTGTAGTTAATGTAAAAGTACAGATACCTGAGATGGTCACAAGTTTGTGGGATTTAAACCATGCACTTGTGAGTGGCTGATGGGTGAAAGAAGAAATGAAACCTGAAATTTAAAACTCATGAATCAAATGAAGATGGAATCACCGCATATCACAATTTATGGTATGTTACAAAAGCAGCTCCAATAGAGAAGTTTATAGCAATAAATGCCTACATTAAGACAAATGAAAAGACCTTAAGTAAATAACCTAAACTTTGATTCAAAGGCCTGGAAAAAGAAGCACCAACTAAGTCCAAATCAACAAAGGAAAAGAAATAAATATCAGAGAATACATAAATGATATATAGACCAGAAAACCAATAGAAAAGATTAACAAAGTGAAGAGCCAATTTTTTAAAGTGAAGCAAAATTGACAAGCCCTTAGGTAGACAAAAAAAAAAGGAGGAGAAGGCTTAAATAAATATAATCAGCAGCAAAATATTATACCTTACAACCAATATCATAGAAATGCAAAGAATAATAGGAGACTACTATGAATGATCTCATTCCAACAATTTGGACAACCTAGAAAAAAAATGGATAAATCCCTAGAAACATACAATTTACCAAGACAAAATCAGGAAGATATAGGAAATATGAACAGACCAATAATGAGTAAGGGTATTAAATTAGTAATCAAAAATCTCCCAGCAACAAAAGCCCATGAGCAGAGACCTTCATAGGTGAATTCTACCACTCATGTAAAGAAGAATTAATGACAAATTCTTCTCAAACCCTTCCAGAAACTAGAGAGGAAGACACATTTCAACTTCATTTTCCAAGGCCAGATTTGCCTTAATACCAAAGTCAGAAAAGGCCAGTACAAAAAAATAAAACTATAGACCAATGTCCCTGATGAACACAGACACAAAATTTTTGAAAAATACTAGCAAAATGAACCAAACAACACATTGAAAGGATTTTACACCATGATCAAGTGGGATTTATCCCTGGGATACAGGGATTGTTGAGCACAAACAAATCACTAAATATGATACACCCCATTCATAGGGTGAAATACAACAATCATATGATCATTTCAATACATGCAGAAAAGGCATCTGACAAAATATAGCATCCTTTAATGATTTTTTTAAAAATCTTTGACAAACTGGGTATAAGAGAACATACCTCAACAAGAAAAGCAAAAGGCTGTATATGACAAACCCACAATAACATTGTACTCAGTGGTGAAAGATTAGAAAATGTCTCTTCTGAGATCAGCAGCAACACAAGGGGGTCCACTCTCACTGCTCCCATTCAACATAATCCTTCATGTCCTAGCTAGAACAATCAGGAAAGATTGAGAAAGTAAAAAGCACCCAGATGTCTTCTTTGGAAAAGTGTCTATTCATGTCTTCCACCCATTTCTTCACTGGATTACAAATCAGAAAGAAAGAAGTAAAATTGTCTTTATTCACAGATGATACAAACTGAATATAGAAAACCCTGTAAAGTCAGGGCACCTAGGTGGTTCAGTTGGTTAAGAGTCCGACTTTGGCTCAAGTCATGATCTCAGGGTTCATGAGTTTGAGTACTGCATCGGGCTCTATGCTGACAGCTCAGACCCTGGAGACTGCTTTGGACTCTGTGTCTTCCTCTTTCTCTGCCCCGCCCCCATTCATGATCTGTCTCTCTCTGTCCCTCAAAAATCAATAAACATTGAAAAAAAAGTAAAGAAAATCCTATAGACTCAATCCTTAAGAGCACACTCACAGTGATGAGCAATGAGTAATGTGTTGAATGGTTGAATCACTATATTGTACTGCACTATATTGTTTTGTGTGTTGATTTTCTGCCCCACACCAATAAACTTTATTGAATTGAAAAGTACACTTATGGTAGACCTTTTGCAGAGGTGGACCCAATTCACCACTTATCTCTGTATCCGTGTACTTTGCAATGTTACTGCGAAGCTCCTCCCATTGAGAGGTGGGGTCGATTTCTCCACTTTCGAATCTGGACTGAATTTAGTATTTTATTTGCCTTGGCTAAGAGTGTATGGTGAAAATGACAGTGTGTCTGAAGGGTCCTTGGTGTGTTTCTGCTGCGCTCTTGGAACCCTGTCTCTGCCATGGAAACAAGTCCAAGCTAGCCTGCTGTAAGAAGAGAAATCACGTGGAGCAGAGCCCTGTTGCTCTAATGAAAGCCAGCCTAGACCAGCCTATCACCAGCAAGCCCCCATATGTGAGAACACAGCCAAGATTAACAGAGCTCCTCCAGCTGACCCACAGCTGACCACCACCTCATGAGGAGACCAACAGAGACCAAAAGACAATACACACCCCCATGTGATGGATGGAGCTAGAATGTATTATGCTGACTGAAATAAGTCAGTAAGGACAAGAGTAAGATCATATGATTTCACTCCTGTGTGGATATTAAGAAACAAAACACATGAACATAAGGGAGAGGGAAGAGAGGCAAACAAACCAGAAGAGGCTCTTAATGATAGAGAACAAACTATGGGTTGACAGAGGGAGGTGGGTGAGAGATGGGCTAGATGGGTAATGGGTACTAAGGAGGGAACTTGTTGTGGTGAGCACTGGGTGTTGTATGTAAGTGATGAATCACTGAATTCTACTTCACTACATATTAACTAACTAAAACATATATTTAAAAAGCTAAAAAAGATAAAAGATAAAAAGATAAAAAGCTTCCGCACTGCAAAGGAAACAGTCAACAAAACTAAAAGGTAACCAACGGAATGGGAAAAGATATTTGCAAATGACATATCGGACAAAGGGCTAGTATCCAAAAGAGCTCACCAAACTCGACACCCGAAAAACAAATAACCCAGTGGATAAATGGTCAC